TGTAAAATGAATCCCTCTCACGATATTGTTTTGTCTTTGCTAGAAACTTCCTTCTCTCAACGACCTGAAAGTGTGTTTTTTTAATGAATTTTTGGGTCAAAATTTGGGCGTGACACTCAAAAATTTTGTTTGGGTTAGCTGGGGACTTTTCGCGCGTCTTGCGCGGCACCTGCGGTGGGCTTTGGTTTGGGCCTCACCAGTTTGGATTGTCACGAGCCGCCACTGGCTTCGAGCACTTTATAAATTACTTTGAATTGAATTGAATTGAAAAGTCTTTATTGTAATAAATTTTTACAAATAGGCGAAGTCTAGCTCTAAGGCTACTCTACTTAACCTTTAAGTTAACAAAAGAAAATATATGTAGATGGTAGTACAAAATATATAGCTAGCAAAATAATTATTAAAATAACTATAAAAATGAAACTAACAGAAATGTTACCCTGAAAAAAAAAAAAAAAAAAAGATACAAAAAAAAGAAACAGATTTTACATTACCATTAAAAAGAAACGTATGATTTTCAGCTGATCAAACCCTGTTCCCTTGTTCCAATAATAAATGGTTTTTAACATTTTTTCGAAAATTTGCAACAGAGCAATTTTTACTTTCAACAATATTTGAATAAGTACTTGTTGTAGTGTTTTACTGCGGACTACGGACTACGGAGAAAACTGGTTAAAAGATGTTGAGGCATTGTAAACCCATTTAGGTGTCTTAGATTTACACTATGTACTTGACTTCTTTGAATTAGTTTTCGTCGAAGGTAGGGAAGAGAGGAGGATGAAATCATTCCATGTACAAACACGGTCAAGTTACAAATAAATAAATTTTCCATTCGTAACCAGCCCAGCTGGTTGATTTTTGTGGATATACCTCTGTCAAACTTTTTCAAACCGCATAGACGAATCTGCAGCAAGCATTTTGAAATTTCTGCAGCCTGCCCGCAGTTTTTTTTATCTAAACATGGAAAGACAACTATATTGCAATAGTTCAAAATCGGAAGAACTAATGATTCGCAAAGCCTTTTTCTGAACCTAAAATTGATGATTGATTTGTTATATTACAGTGGTTTTAATGCAAAAAACGCTTTTTTTATAGTATTAGAAATGTGGGTATTGAATCTCAAATTTGTATCAAAAGTAATACCTAGATTTTTTGCCTTGTCGACTATTTCTAGCTGTGTAGGACCTACAAAAATACGTAAATTTGATTTGATATATTCTTTTTTGTTTTTTGGTGAAAAGGTCATGACACAGCATTTAGAGGCATTTAATTTAAGGTTATTCTTATTAGCATAATCCAGAATTCTTGAAAGGTCATTATTTATAGATTCGGACGCTTGCTCAACTAGACTGCTATCAAAACTATAAGAAAGTTCTGTATCATCAGCGAAACCTCCAATTTGACAATTTTCAACCATTTTGAACATGTCAGCTGTGTAAATTAAAAAAAGAATGGGACCTAAAACGTATCCTTGTGGGACCCCTGACGTTATATTTTCCAACCCAGAGGGATCGCAATCTGAAATAACCACCTGCTGTTTACGGTTTTTCAGATAGTTCTTGAAAAAGTTGACGACCACATCATTACATCCATAATAACTTAGTTTGGCACAAAGAAGATCAAAATCAAGGGTGTCAAATGCTTTGGAAAAATCTAGCATTATCACTGCAGTAGATAAACCTTCGTCCAGAGCAGTAAATATTTCGTCTGTAAGTTTGGCAAGAACGGAAGTCGTGCTATGGCCTTTTCGAAAGCCTGATTGCGTTTGTGGAATTATGCTGTTCAAAATTAAAAAAATCATATATTTGCGGTTGAATATGCTTTTCTAGAATTTTAGACAATGTATAGGTATTAATGAAATAGGTCTCAGATCGGAATAAGACTGTGGTTGATTTATTTTAGGTAATGGTTTCACTATTGAGATCTTCCACGCATTCGGAAAGTATCCTGTCTCCAAACAACAGTTTATAATGTTTGTGGTAAAAGAAAGTTTATGCATAATTTCAGCATCTGCGCTGATATACCATCATAGCCAGAAGCGTTGGATTTTACATCCAAAATTATATTTTTTATTTCTTCCATTGTTGCCAAATTGAAGGAAAAGTTTAAGTTTTCATCGTACCTGGCACCTGAAAACTCTTTCACAGTGTCTGTACAATTATGAAGCTGACCATAGACGGAGGCAAAATACTGATTTATTTCGCTTGTGTTACGTAAGTTTTCAGGTAACTCTCGGTTTGCGCTTCTTTTCAAATTAAGCTTGTTAATGGCCTTCCACAGTTCTTTACTGTTGTTGGATCTTTGGTGGAATTCAAGAAAAGATTTCTTTTCTTGCCGTATAGCATAGCCCACAGTGTTTCGTAGTTTTTTATAGTAGGCCCAATCCCCAATATTTTTAGTCTTTTTAAATTTGGACAAAGCTTTATCTCTCGGGTTCATAAGGGATTTTATATTATACGTGATCCATGGAGAAATAGGTTTAGTCACCCTGGCCGTTACAAAAGGAGCATGTTTATTAAATAAATTTAAAAGATTTGTGTTGAAAAAAGTAATTTTTTCCTCTATGTCTTGAATATAGAAAATGTCATCCCATGAAATTACCTGGATATCCCTATTTAATTCATCAATAGTGAGCTGCTTAAAATTTCGATAAAAAACCATTTTTGGTTTAGACTTTTCCACGGATATATTAACTCACAAATGATAGCTCTGTGGTCAGAAATCAAAACCGCGTTGAGCGTGATACAATCTATTACCATTGAGGGTTGGTTAAAATATACAACATCAATAATTTTCTGAGTGGTGCTTGTTATTCTGGTGGGCTCGCTTACCAACTGAGCAAAGTCGTAGGTCGAAAAGCATTCTAAAAGAATATTATCAAAATAATGGTCTACGTTTACGTCACCTCTAGAACAATAATATTTTTATATTGAGGACCAATAAAAGATAACAGATCATCGAAATAATCAACACATTTTTGTAGGTTTGACTTTGGGGGTTTGTAAACTGATCCCACCAAAATTTTCTCCTTTCCAATCATCAATTCAATGAAAACAAGCTCCAACCCCTCAATCGATGGGAAATCTTGTAGCATGTATGCACAATTTAAACTATTACTAACATAAATACCAACACCTCCTCCCCTGCCATCCCTATTTACCCCAAATAGTGTATAATTAGGTATCGAATAATCAAAGTTTATCAAAGGTTGAGCAAAATTTGAATCCTCATCATTTAACCATGTCTCCGACATGCACATGACGTCAATTTTTGAATTTAAAATCATTGATTGAAAATAATCAAATCCCGTTGCCAAAGAACAAACATTTAAATGCCCTATCTTTAAATTTTTCATTTTATAGAAAAGAAAAAAGAAAATTAAACTCTAACTAGCTACCAGGAAAGCCGGTACTGCCCAATTTGAAAAATAAAATTTATAAACAATACGCTGTTTACGCCATGCTTTTTTTGTCTTGTTTTTGAAAATATAGTAGGTACTTAGTAAACAAAAAAGAAACAATAGGCAAAAAACTTTGCAGATAAAGAAAAATAATACCAATATAATTTTTAACAACAATTTCAATCGCTTACCAATTTACAGGTTCAAATAATAACAATAATTATAATTTTATGCACACAATAGGTTCTTTCTTTATATTTCCCTATTTACTCACTGCTTTCTTTTAACTCACTTAACTTTGATTTATCAGAGATACGATGCACTCAAAGTGCTTTGTGCTTGCCAAGCACAAAGCACTTTGAGGGCTTTGTGCTTGTGAAGCACTTTTGAAAATAAAAAGGAATTTGTGCTTGAAATTGAAAGCACTTTGAGAAAGGGCTTAGGGCTTAGTACTTCAAGCCCTTTCACTGAGGGCTTTGCCCAGCTCTGGTTTTGACTTTTGAGCAAAGATAATCCTACTTTGGAGTAGTATTATCTTTGCTTTTGAGGCATCTTCGCGTTCGTCTGCCTCTGTTTACTATCCTAGATTGATTGCATGCATAATGGAGTAGAAAAAGACGGGTGACAAGAGAGTCTCGTCTTAGTACACTAGATATGTTCTCACAGAAATCAGAAACCAGTCGGAGCAAATTTCATTGGTTGAAAATAGTCAGAAAACTGGTTGTTGGCGATTTGTACCAATTACAAAGGCTCTGACTGGTTCGTGATTTCTGTGAGAACAGACCTTCGAGCGGCGCGGCTCTGATTACCGGCGCGGCGGCTAGAATAATTTCGTCGTCTTGTCTTTATTCAACTCAAGAGAAGGTTATGCGCAAAAGTCGTTCGCTCGTGTTATTCAATCGACTTTCCGCGCCGGTTTCATGGGCCCCATCCGCCCCTGATCGTTATGAGTTACAGAATAAGCACCTAAAACACACAAAGGTTTGGTTTCCTAGTCGGAATTCACTACACTAAATCTCATCCCATGCCATGCCGGCTCCGAGGTTATTATTATTATTATTATATAGCATTTATTGTTGTTAATCTTTCAATTTGTACATTTATGACTTATCCTAAACAATAAATACAGGGTTTTCCCACAAGAGAATCCTCGTACGTGGGAATATATACATATATACAACATAAGTATTCAATATCTAATCTAATTCTAATCTAACCCAATAATTACAATAAGTTAATCTATTTCCTGATAATTAATCTATTTCCCAGAATGTTTTACGGCTGATTAACCAATGAAGGCGCATTTTTCGCCCAGCTTCGGTATGGCAAAAGGCATCTGCATATTTATGCTGGTGACTGTGAGTCTTGAACCGTTTTCTCCTGTCCACTTTTTTGACATTGGTTCAAAACAGGTTTGAAACGGGCAATGGTAACACCATTGTCGTTTGCCAAAAAAGTGGACACGAGAAAACGGCTTTGGTTGTGTATCTATACACTGTAGTCTGATAATGAATCTTGATCGGTAACTTACTTTATTCAATTAAGGCGATGTAATAAGCTCTTACTTATACTATAGGTTATAAATAAATACATACATGAACATAACTTTAACTTTTATTTATTAACACAATTATTAATTTATACAATTGATTATGAATCAACCACCAGCGCCCTCCTGTTAGGAAAGAAGTTCTAAAACAATAATAATTCATTGATGGCCGTTTGCACCGACCATTTTAAGGAAGCATTAGCGATAAGTATTCCTCAAATTGACATTTCTACATGGATAAATGTCACTTTAACTAACTTATCGCTAAGGCTTCCTCAAAATGGTTGGTGCAAACAGCCATGAGTCTTGCACCTTTAGAGCGACTTCCTGCATTTTTGTATGTTATTTTATCTTGTGCATAATTAAATTATGACGATTGTTTTGACAAGAACTCACTGTTATACAATGATCTAATATCTTGTTGGAACACAGTAATAAATTATTGTGAACATTGAAAAAAATATATCAATTTAAATCTCAAACTTTTTTGATATGGTAAGTAAAGTCTGTTTTTTTATTAAAGATAAAAATGACATTAGGTTGGCAATACTATGTAAAATTGTCAATACTTTCAATTTTTTTACATAGAAAAGGCTTGGTTGCCAAATTTTTGACATGGGATTTTGCCTTAAAAAAAAACAGACTTTAATGGTTTATCTATTTTACTTTTATTTTTTCATGAGGACTAACAGCAAATAATAAAATAATAAATTATTAGTAAAGTGACTATACTAAAAACAAATTCAGCTTACAGAAAACTGATGATAACAGGTACATAGTCATGGTCATCCATTTATATCTATAGTGCGAGCAAGTAATAGAATTAATCTATGTCGGTGTCATTATGACACATTTAGCATTGTCATTTGAATGTCATTAGGTCCTTCATAATAGCACTAGTGCGATTATGAGAATTCATAATAACACTCAAATAATAAAATAAAAAATATACAAAAAGATAGTTAGTTACCAGAAGAACCTTTTCATTGATGCTGTCTTGATATCCGAATTGATTTGACAGCAATTGAAATCCTACCGAAAGAAACAGCACAAAGCTCTGTTTTGATTCAATACAGTTATAATGATAATAATTATTAAATATTAAAAAATATTTATATAAAATAGACAAAATTGAAATTTTTAGTGTTTTTTTTTCTCAACGATAAGTGACGCTAGTGCAAGTTTCAATTTTTGATCATATATTTATAGCTTTAGCATTAACCTCCAGTCATCGAGCCTTGTCGACTTGGGTCATCAATGTGATATAAATGTGCCATGTTCAATTCACCAACTAGCTTCTGGTAGGCTGATTCTCTTACTTGCTGGCACTACTACTACTACTATCACTATCCGTGGTAGTAATAACTAATTTTTGGTGTAGAGCTGGGCTTTTCGTTTACGATTCGCCAGAATATCGTAAAACGGATTGTGACTTATGCTTTGCGTTAATCGTTCTATCCATTCTTTGCGTTCCTCATCACTGCTGGCAGACATTCGGTAAACTGTGTGTTTACCCTCCACCACCTTACCTTCTGAATCAGTCTTACATGCCTAAAAAAACTGGACGTCAGCGAATTTCACTTCAAATATTGGTAAGTTAAGGCAAAAGTTTTTTTTTATTTTTATGACAGATAAATTTTTATGGATTTTCCGGAAGCATGAAAAAATTGCTTCAACAAAAACAATCTCAGTTATTGGCTGTCTCTGATCACAGCTCTAGATAGGTAGACAGGTCAAAAAAGGGCCTATAGAGCCATATGGTATTAGTAAAATTTTAAGATATTATCAGAGGATGTCCTTATTTTATTACTATGCTATTTTTTACCCTTGTCTACATGTGGCCCTTTTAGTGCAGCTGAGATTTATTTTTTCTCTAACCTTATCAAATTCATCTTACCCTGATTGGGACTGTTTAGTGGAGTCATTTTTTTTTTGTCTGGCATTTTGAGAGCTGAATGTGGGTAGTTAACTGATGAGAATATAAGTGATTTTAATGCCTACACTCTGTTCAAAATTTCCACAAAATGTTTTGCGCATTTGCTCGATTTCGAACTATGATTACCGTCTGGCGATTTTCAGCGTTATTTCCACAACATAACCTTTCATTCTCTCGATTGCCAGACAGAAAGTAACTGCGGAAAGTTCTATACTTTTCTCTTGCAAGTTTCAGCCGTTGAAAAGCATCTGGCATTTTTATGGGTTAGGTAATTATTTATCAATGACAATCTTTTATTCAAAAGCCTCACAATTTAGGATCATTAAAAAAAATGCTTCATGTAAATAAATAAAAAAATCTCAAAATTTTCGAACGAGTGGCAGGCATTGAAATCACCCATATTCTCATCAGCTAAATAGCCACATTCAGCCCTCAAAATGCCAGAAAAAATGACTCCATTAAACAGTTCCTATCTCAGGGTTTATTATTCATTTTCTCAACTGTGATGCGCATCAAATTAACTTGAGTTTTTATTATTGCTTGTCCTTATCGTGCAGTCCGTTACTTAGGTAATAACCAAAAAAATTATTGTGATAGGAGCAGGAGTAATAATAACATAAAAACAGGGTGAAAAAACCTGGTAAAAAACTCACCGTAGAAAAACTAACACTTATAGCTGTTGGTTTCTAATGGTGCTAATAGACAAACAAAAGTTACCTTAATAAAATCGGCTCCTCCACTAGCATACAGCTCGAAACAATAGTGTTTCTGTCTATCCTGACATTCCCTGATGGAAATATTTTCCAAAGGAATTATGCCTCGTGGTTCTTTATCAGTTGTATATTCGAAATAATACAAACAATTATCGTTTAATATAAACCAGCGGCGTTTCCAACTTTTGTAACGTCCGCCTTGTTTCCAGAGCCATCCTTCTTTGTCTGGATTGAAGAAGGTATGCATCAAATCGTTACCGTCATCCTCTGGAATTTTGAATGGCTCTGCTTTAATACTATCATATAAACTCTAAAATTGAATGATTTTACATAAATCGCGAATATAAACACTTGAACAATTACTTACAACAAGTAATTCTCTTGGCAAATCTTGGCCCTGGTTTATTCCTCTATTCATATTTACAAATTGTTCAATGGTGGGTTTATCTTTCACGCTCGGATTGTGTAAACTAGTATTCAGCATTATGATAGCAAAAGAGAGGACATAGCATGTGTCGGAATTTTCGAAAATATTATTATCTCCTTGACAATCGCAATATCTTTTTGCAAAACATTCCATCATTCTATCAATTTTTTGAGCTTCTCCTGGTAATCGGAAACTCCATAAAAATTGTCTAAGACAAAAAATTAAGTATTTAAAGTAAATTGAGGCAATGGACTTACCTTAAAGCCTGGACTAGAATTAAATCTGTAAAATCGTGCAGATTAACAAATGCTTGTAAAACTTTCTCGTTAAATTCGTTTCTTTCTCCTAAATAATCTCCAATTGCAGTCTTGTTTAAACCCTCGCCTTTATGAAGAAATTGTGCCACACTTTCTGCAGTGTTCTGTAAAGAATATCTATTATACAAAACTAACTATTGACAGTTGTTTGTTTTATTTGTTTTGGAAGTTTTGAAAATGGAAGTATTATGGGAATCTTTTTGGAGGAATATGCTTAGACAGTTAATTATTGATAAAACACTATCTAAGAATTGATGTTGTTGATGGTGTTTTCATTTGGGCTTAATGGCCGTGATGCTAGCCACGCGTGCTAGCGAAACGTCAGAAAGAAATTCCAACTTACGACGGCCATTAAGCCCGATTGAAAACACTTTATCAATAAACCTGGGCCTCGAAAGCTTCACAAACTTTATCTAAGAATTCTTGAGGAAAAAATATTGTCACACCAAATTTGCACCAAGGTATTATTTTTCTAAATTAAAGCCAATTAAGTTCGCGATAAAGGGGACAGCCGCCAAATATGCTGATGACACGAACTGCCTTTTGAGGGGAAAAGATTAAATAAATAAAAAACGAATGTTGGGATTTTTTTTTTTTTTGAAAAACACAAGTGTTCAATCAAAGCTTCAATCACACTGCTAATGGGTAACTCATAATGATGAGTTTGTATATCTTTGCAGCCAGTTTGCACAATACTTGAGGTTTACTCTACAAGACAATGGAGAGAACCTGATTCCAAATCAATGGATACTTTACTAATTCCATACTGGTTTCTAGCTAATCAGCTCTCATCAGTGTAATAGGCGCCGGTCACAAATTCCTCTAGCGACAGTTTTCAAAAGAATTTGTAAAGTCTGTTTTTTTTTAAAGATAATTCCCCAAGTCAAAAATTTAGTAACTATGTTGGCAACGCAAGCCTTTTCTACATAAAAATTTGAAAGCATTGACAATTTTACATTGTATTGCCAACATAATGTCATTTGTACTTTTTTCTTAAAATAGTTATTTATGTATCAAGGGTACTAAGTAGATGATTATGCCCTGAGGCCTCTGGCCCGAGGGTTCGTAAGTCGCCCGAGGGTATATATATCTATTAGTACCCGTGGTGCATACAAATTTTTATGTCATACCAGTTGGTTGTGAATAGTAAATACCTGGGAAAAAAATGTCACTTCCCAAATTGTCATCAGTGTGCAAACATCATCATTTTTTGACAAAAATAATATGTTTATAAGCGTAAATTTATATTTTGTTGATAAAGAATAAGTTAATTGAAAACTGTTTTTTGCGTCTTTATGCCCGCGCGGGCCATAATGTGTACTTTATGCCCGCACGGGCATAAAGTAATGAATTATGTAGATGGTATCTAAGGTATAAAAACACAATAATGTATTGGTATGACATAAAAAAAATAAAAGTGTATAATAAACAATTGGCCTTTTGACAGAAGCCCGATATAGACTTAAGGCCGGGGTAGACGTTCCGTCATGTTCATCAACTTGCTTGCGCAATCTCAAATTGAACGGCAAGACTGATTATTCATTTCACCCCTAACTAACTATTCAGTCTTCAGCTTAGTGGTACATACATTTTATATTTTGAAAACAAACATTTATTTCTAACTCCATTTTTTGAAATACGAGTAACAAGTGACAAGTAAACAAAATAAAAAAAAACGCACATATGCTTTTCACTTATTATTGGCGTAGAATTATCCATGGAAATTTGGCAGGTTGACCCTCGTATAATAATAATGACAGTATATGTCAAATTCCAGACAGTTTTAAGTGTGGTTTACATAATTTCGTAAGTGCCGCCGTATTAAAATTTTCTGGCCTATCTGGCAAATCAAATTTGACACATTTTTCAATAATGCTATATTATAAACGGTACCTAACTATTTTGCGTACCTACAAAATCTAATGACATTTTTTAAAATTCGGCATTGTCAAATTTCTTTCGTATTGAAGATGCCGAAAATAATCTCAGAAGAAAAAAAAAAAGGGGTATATTAAAATGTCATGGTTATTTCAAAAAAAAAATAAACCAGAGGCTCTCCAGGGAACAATTGAAGCCCAACTTGCAGATATATTTGAGGTAGGTATAACTTAAATGTAGATGTGAAGCTGTTGTGGAAACAGCCAAACAATCGTATTTATTTTTTATGATCACAGTGGCAGCGTTGCAACAAAGCCCCCCGCCGTGAAACTTTGCCGCTGGCGCCGTACCAGGCTGTACGCATCGACCCAGTCTGGTTGTTGTCGCTAGGAGAAAAAATGCATTCCTTATCTTTTTCACTTCGCAGTGTGATTTTTAGCAGTGTGATTTTAGTAGTGTGATTTCACTAGCAGTAAATAGTGCGTAAAAACGTCTAGCTCTATACAAGTTTGAACCTGCTCACTTTTCTCTAATTATTTAATTATTCTCTCTAGTTGCACCCTTGTGCAGTCTCTCTCTCGCTCTCTAAATAAAAAGACTTATTTTTTTATCTCTCTGGCTGCTGGCTTGAAAACTCAAGTGATATAATATCGCGTAAAACATTGAGTTAATCACACTCCCCTTTTTTAAGGGCTCTCTAAAAATATAAAAACTCTCACCTCCCGAAGATTTCTATTAAGAATAAACTTTATCTTGTGCTCTTAATTAAAATATTAGCGTTCCGCTAATACTGACAATTATTGTTAAATTGACTATTGAGCACTTACAACTAGTGAATTTATACCGATTAGTGAAGGTTCTCGAATAACTCAAATGCGACTTGTTAACTAACCTGTGAATAATTAAAAGTACTTGAATGTGGTTATAGTATTTATTACTTTATTAAACGATTATTTTGGCAAGAATAGAGAGATATAAAACTGGGAGTGTGAGTGCATTATTTAGCAGTGACATCCCCATCCCCTTTATGATCCAGTGATCTATCCCTAAATTAAATGTTGACACCTCAGTTAGAGGCCCTATCATTTTGGTCCTTCGAGCCGGATTGGGGGTGTGCTGCTGGAAGTGTTACGTCCCTTCATCCCTTGTTTGTTGCTAATGATCAACAACCATCAACAACTCGATCCACAAGTAAGTTTCTGGGATACTTGCCGGAAATTGGTACCGAGATTGGTACGTCGTTCTTCGAGATCTTCTACTCCCTCGTCGACCTTCACAAAAGGTAACAGAACTTGTACTTTATTTATTTCAAGACTAAAGTGTTCAGCTCGGTGTTCAGTGTACTCTAATGCTCTATAACTAAAACAGAGTGATTTTTTCATTGTTCCTATTTTTGAATGTTATACAAAATATTGTAAATATTGACTCTCACTCTCTCACACTTGGTTTTTTAAGCTTAATTATTTATTTACTAAATTATTTATTGCATTTAAAAACAAACAAAAAAATACCTTGATTTATTTGCAAATTTAGATTTATTTTGATTTGATTATTTTGCCCATTGTTTGAGTTTTTCTACTCTGTAAAATTGAGTTATAAAAACTTATTTACTTTTCTTTCTAGGTTTAAAGTATTCGCTTATTTTCTTTACCTATACTATTTTCTTTGGTGTAAGGGTCTTGATTTTTCGATTTGTATTTTTTTTTAATTGCCCAAAGTTAAAATGGATTTAGATCAACTAAAATTTATTCGTAAATCTGTCAAATCCTCTCAAACAAGAATTTTCAATTGGTTTCTGACAAATAAAAGCACGGTTCAAGATATTGGTCAATTTCAAACTCGTTTGGTCACTTTGCAAAATGCTTTTGATAAATATAACTCTGCACAAGACATAATTGAAAATTCTGGTGAGGAAGATGCAGAGGATAGGGTGAGCACAGAAAATAAATTTTACGACACTTTTTCTCTAGTTAATGATTGTTTAAGTAATCTAACTACTCAAGGCAACCAACCAGCACACTCTTCTGCTCCTTCACAAAAAAATGTTGGTGTTGAGTTGCCAGATATTACAATTGCACCTTTTACTGGTAACTCAACTGAATGGCACTCTTTTTACGAACTCTTTCAATCACTTATAATTAATAATGCCCTACTCACAAACGTTCAAAGATTTTTTTACTTAAAATCGTTCCTGAAAGGAGAGCCTTTGAGCGTTATTGACTCATTGCAAGTTACAAATGATAATTTTGCAACAGCAATTGATATTTTGAAAAATAGATATGGAAACTTGAATTGCATTGTGAATGCTTATGTAAATTCTATAATGGATACACCCTCAATTTCAAAATGTAATAGTAAAAATCTGCGGGAGTTTGTAACGAATTCTAGAAAAAGTTTGGACGCTCTAAAGAATTTAAAAATTTCGGATTCTCAAATGTTTGAACTATTTCTCATTAATATATTTCAGAAAAAGCTAGATTTTTATAATGGGAAATTATTTGAAGAAGACCGTGACTTAACAAAATTGCCAGATCTTAATGGATTTTTTGAATTTCTGGACAAACGGTGTCTTATTCTTGAAAATCTACCCTCCAATCATGACACATCACATAATACTCATAATAGAAAGCAAGAGAGAGTGTCCCTGTTACCTCAGCAACAAAATAAAGAGCAGGAGCCACGTCGTTCCTCATTGACTGATTTTTTATGTCTATACTGTAACTCTCGTGGCCACCCTATTTATTCTTGCCAGAAATTCATATCCCTTGTTCATGATGACAAACTGAAATTCATAGATTCAAAAAGATTATGTAGAAATTGTTTCGGAAGCAAGTATTCATTGAATACTTGTACCTCATCTCGTAAATGTGGCCATTGTAATAGGAAGCATCACACTATTCTTCACATACCTACAATGCGACCTACAACTTCTCCCATAAACTCTAACTCTGCCCATCAGGCTCAAAATCGAGCTCAAAACTCTCCTCACTCACAAAACACTCATCAAGGTTCAAATCCAAACTCTCAACCTCGACAAAACTCTAATTATAACTCTCGACCCCAATTTCACCGTAATCACCAAGACAATCAAGCTCTCGATCAACTCCCAAGTCAATCTCTAACCAGTAGTGTAAATTGGGAACAAACTCAGAGCCCAAATTTAATCTCATCCCCAAATTATTCGCCAAATTTAAACATTAATGGTTATCGACCCATTTCTCAAGAA